CAGCTTTAAAATGTATCAACAGAGACATATAGTTTCATTAGATAAATATCAAACCCAACATTAAAATGTATCAATTAGGGAAACTGATACTTATCCTTAATTTAAAATTACAATGCAAAAAATAATGAAATTCCTAAATATTACTCTAACACTTATCACATATTCCTTAATGTTATTTTATATTTACTGCATGTTTAATTGTATAGGACAACAAGTAATCACCTAGGAATATATTTTATAGTCAAGGTGGAACTTGTAAACTAAAAACAATAGGTATGATCCAATACATTGGTTATGAATGATCTGAGGGATTGTATGCCACGATTCAAATATAATTCACCCGTTTTGTAATTAATTTACAAATCTAGGGTCTTTTGGGGGAAAGCTGAAATAACAAGTGACAAATATTTACTATAACTCCTTAACCAATATCAAACAGGTAGTCTTCAAGGCTCAAGCCATATAATTAAATAATAATGCGAATCAACCAATATTTCTATAGGTATATGCATAACATATATGTATTTCTAAACTTTAAGTCATGTAATACCCTATACTTTTTAATACTAAATTAAAAACGTATACCACTGTTCTTATTAACTTTCTATTTAAAATGTCAACTTATAGTTTTAACATTAATTCAAATAGGAAGATGAATATTTTTAATTTTTGATGTGTAATTAAGTGTACAGATCACTAATTTATTATATATTTATTGCAAATATAATGATCTTAACTTTAAATTGGAGAAGTTGATAAGTGTCAATCTACATTCTGTGCCAGAAGAGTACATTATCATTTTGCAGACCGGTCCAAGGCACAATTTCCCCCACTTTGTGCTGTGACAGTATAGGTTGTATATATATAAATTAAAGTTTCGAGTGTTGTCGAACATACAGAACATTAACAAACTGATGTCGTTAAGTGGGGGATACGTGGATTCGAACGTGGATTTGGTCGGGTTACGGTTAGGTTTTCTCCTGGCACAGAGTATAAAAATAGATAACAAATGTTTATCCCTCTCCATTTTTTTTAGTCTAAACTACAAATTGTCAAAGTTATATAAGTCATATTCTACATAAGATTTTTTTTTATACTCTTTTGTGAAATTAACATTGAAAATTATATAGGTAAAATATTCTGTATAGAAATTTAAAGCAGATATTGTTTGCAAATATAAATAGGGTGGTACAAATAAAATAATTATTAATTATAGTTTATCATTTGGTATTAAAGGTATATAATAAAGTACTAATATTCATAATACATTAGAAATTAATTAGCTTGTATAAATTTTTAAAATTTTTTTGTTACCTATATAATAAAAACATAGATAAGTATCCCTACATCAATATTTTTAGCCACTGCCATAACCGATGTTGGGATAGGTATACTTACATTAAGCAATCTAACAATAAAAAAATGCATTACACAGTAACTCGGTGCATGCCCATGATTATACACTGAGAGATCAACAACTACCCAGCTTAATTGAGGCTAAAACTAGACCCTTTTTATGTGCATAAAATTATACTTTCCATAAGACAACAACATACATTATTATTTAAGAATGATACATTTTTTTTAAGGTTAAGCATTAAATGTCAAGCCACAGACAAGAAAAGCAACAAACACCCTTTTGTCTTAAAAAATGCTATTTTTGTGGTTTGTAGGAGTATGTATTATTGTACCTACTCATTATAAATCAGTTTTACATGGCATCAAACAAGAGTCAAGAATTAAACAGCGATTAAATGACAAAAGCTTAACCCACAATCCACTTAAAATTACAGCACATGTGCAACACTGTTGCCAACATTAATTGGTGGTACTGACAAAACAAACACATGTAAGTATGAAGAACATTTCACCCATATTTTAAAAAGGATCAAATCCATGTAAATGAAATTAAGTTTAAAGAAAAAAATTGTACCTAGCACAAAAAGGGTAGGCATTCCAATATTTTACAAATCAAATACTTTTAAATCAAGCCTCATATGCCTTAAATTGATCCCCAAATGCTTTAGGTTACTATTATGATACATTTATTAAATTGGAAATATATAATTATAAATTATAAATATAGTCAGTAATAAATTTATTTTGTATAGGAAGGTACTGACAGTAACTATCTTCTGGGGTAATTAACTTCCTAATGCTCCCAAACTTAAACTCAGGTATTTAGGTACCTAAATAATAAGTGTTGTAATCTTCTAATTTGACACTTACAAGATATTATTAGTTATGCTCATACTATTGACTGTTGTTAATTGAAATACCTTCACCTTAAACTTTATATTAAACCTATTAAGAATTTGTCAATATTTATTTTTCAATATATTTGTAAGTAGATACACCCTACTTACTTAAATGTTAAATAAATATTAAAAAGGTACTTTCAAAAAAAAATGATTTTTGGTTTTTAACTTACTAATATGTACCTTGATAATAATATACTACCTACCTACATAAAGGGTAATAGGCTGAATGCACACCAAAGCAGTGCAACACGAGCGGCCAGGTTATTGCAGAGCGTTGGGGTAGTTTTTACCACACTGGTATTTGGTGTGGGCCAAGCCTAAGAAAACAGACTGAATTTAAAATTTTAGTTATATTTTAGTTTATAAAAATGTATTCACAATTCTTAGTTTCGAATCCTAATTTTTATAGCAATTTCCTGAAAAACAGTAAGTTTAAAATACATTTTTACTAGGTAGGTTTATATAATTTGTACAGAATACAAACCATTAATATTAAAATATAAAAACTATTTTCAGCAGGTACCAACATAAGTCATAATAACTTAAAAATAAAATGGTAGGGAGTTATTTACATGTTTGTTTACAAAATTACAAACCTACATTACATAATATAATATATTCATGTTATAGATTACATAATCACAGTTTAAACGGTAGACTACTTTATTATTAACTAACAACTTATTTGGAGACAAAAAATGTATAATCAATTATTGAAGTGTACCTAGTTTATACAATACCTAATAATAATATTAAGTATAAGCATTGCTATAGTTAGAAGAAAACCTACATCATAATATAGCAGAGTGTATTTTATTCCATTGATTATAAATTATAATTTATAAGCATTTAGATAGGTAGGTAGGTAGGTACATAACAAACATAGCTTACACTTTCAGTTACCTACTCATTTGCTTATCTATTTTGTATGGAGGTCCACACCAATATTTGAAAACAATATATTAATAAAGGTAAAAGATTTTTTATCTTTTACCTTTATTAACAAACATGATTCTTTAAAAGGATTTAAATACAAAATTTAATGAAGGTACCTAGTAAACAGCCAAAATGAAGATTTCGATAACAATGCTTAGACTATCAAAAATGTTTGAAATATATTATGGTAAATCATAAGATACACAAATTCACTAAACAGTTAATTAATAAGCCAACACATTTGAAGACTAAATACATTTAGATGATTTAAACTATTATTAATATTACTTAGGTACCTAGGTAAAATACCTAATAGGATTTGAGTAATAATTATAATATCTAGGGTCCCAAATGTAATCAAACAGCGGTACCTAAATCAGTAATGGTTAATATTTTTATCATTGTTTAGGTAAAATACATAAGCTCATATTAAATACAGTTTTCAATATCATTATTTGTATTCCGTAGTTCCTATAAGGTACCTACAGTCGGGTCTTGTCATAGGTGTTAAAAAAGTTTGCACACATTCAAAGTAACATTTATTAGTGTGCAGGATAAGAGGAGGTTGAAAATAAGGGTTAAGAAATCAATAAATGAGAGTTGTTGTTTATACTCTCATCATGTCATCATACCTTGACATTAGTGGCATCAGACACTTCACGCATGATTTTCTCAAAAGCAGCGGTTTCCTCTGCTTGTTTCTGATTGTGCAAAGCGATCTTTTCGCTAAATTTTCTTGGGTTTGCCATTGTCCACTAAGTTGTGGAGTTTTATCACTTTCCAGGGACAATCGTTCAAGCCGTCAAAAACGAACACTTTAGTCGTTCGCGGACAAAGAGCAACGGTAGCTGTAACACGTTCGTTGGGGCATTAACACAATTTCAATAAGACGCGGGCATTAAATTTGCATTATGCGATGCTCAATTGATATAATATAATAAATATTTTATCATCGTGGGAAATCGCTACCTAAGAGGAACAGCGAGAAAAAAAATTCTGTAATATAAACCATAAGAATCGATTTAATACTATAATAACATATTACGTATCGCGCGACATTCGTGACATTAAATTGTCACGAAAACCAAAAGCCCAGACGGAATATCGGAACCATTGGCACGCACTTGCGAAAACAGCAGAACCGCTAACATGTCGAACGATCATAAAAAAAAAAACCAATAAAACGACGGCGGCGAACTGTCGATTAATGGTAGTAGGTGTACATATTGCACTTAACGCCGTTTACAGTAAAAACAATAATAAAATCAACAAAATAATAGTATAGTATCGAATGTAAATGTTCGGCACTTCGGCGACGGAGACGGAGGAAAACGATCGCGCGCGATAACGACGTCTACCTGTTGGCGAATACGGGCGCTTATTGAAAAAAAAAAAATAATAATAATTCTCAGAATTTAACGCGATTTCGGGAGATGGTGATTGCGATTTGTGATAACGACGAGATGGTGGGGGCGTATCTTGGCAGAACATCGCTGCCAAAGAGGTTTACACTAACTGCGCACATCGTTGCCGATACATTGCCTGCACTGTAGGCTGATATTACTGTTATCGTTTAATAAACATTTTATCATTTGTTTTCGTTTGTTATCAACAAAACATCAAACCGTGGAAATGTGCCATGTGCCCGCGAAGACCGTGAAATAGTCAAGAATACTTGGTGTAAACACGTGCACGTGCACTTGCGCTTTTAACTTTTCCAACAGGCCTGCGATTCGGCAGTATTGTTCTAAGAGGCTCAGTTGCTGACTTCACCCTTAAAGACCATCAGTTGACTTTCTCATTATGACTTTGGACACCGTCCCAATGATGGAGCCCACCACCGGCGACGAGTTTGGCAAGAAACGGAAAAAGAAACAAAACCCTGACGGAGGAAAGAGGATTAAGCCACCTACAGCTGAAGAGTTGAATAAGCTTCGGGAAACTGAAAACCTTTTCTTGTCAAATATGTTTCGAATGCAAATTGATGAAATGTTGAAAGAAGTAAAACCGAAACAATCTACTTTAGACAAAATTCAAGAATGGTTCAATAAGTTTAGCATAGCTGTTTTACAAGATATGGACACCACAGATTATAAAAAAGTACATTTTCTGAGTTACTACTACCCAGTGAAATTTGTCTTGAAAAATTTATTTTTACATCTTACCTCGTATTTAAATAATCCTTTTACCATATTGACACAATGACACTAACCATTAGGCGAGGCACTTATTATATTTTTCAGTAGAAACTCAAAACAAATTAGATATCTGGTTTTTATTGTGTGAGACATACTAATAAAGTTTAATATAATACAGTTTGTCTGCAATCCTAGTGTAATTTTTTTCCATATCACTGTTATAGTAATTTTATTTGATTGAATATTTTTGAGGCTGAACTGATTGAACATTACTTATTAAGAATTTTCTAAAAAACCTTAATTTAATATTAAAATTACTATAACTTTGGTATCTACAAATCTATTATAGTTGGTTTGGTTTAAACATTTTCTATTACCAAAAAATCCAGTCAAAAAGATTTAGAATACAAATTGTGAAAATACTTTCTGTTTCTCTGTAGTCGATTTTTATCTGAATTAATATTTACTAATGTTTGCTTTCAGGAATTATTATCAAATATGAATACATCTGAAATGAATACACCATTCCATTTAAATCCCAAACATAATACTGATGGAACTTTTCGTTTTACCAAGCCATGTTCTGTAAAAATTGTTGGTTCTCATTCTTTAGGAACTTCTTTAATGCCATTAATTAAAGTTGATGTATCAATTGTAATGGGAAAAGTAAGTATATAACACATTATTTAATACCCATATTATTAGTTGTATTAATGTTAATGAATTATTTAGACATTTTTCCATAAAAAAGACTATGCTGATGAAAAATATCTACGCAAAAAGGCTTTTTACTTGCACTGCCTTGCTAAAGAATTAATGAAAATACCATTTATGATTGACAATGATGTACAATTTTCTTTTGGGAGTCATTCATATTATTTACCTACGCTTATTGTAAAACCAATTGGTACATTAGGTAAAAAGTGCTGCTTTTGTTTACGAGTTGTTCCCGAAAAAGATATATACAGTTTACATAAGTTTTCTCCAAATACCAACAATATTAATTGTCAATGGTATTTTAATACAAGTGTAGAGAATGGTAATTTGAATAAATATTATATTATATTATATTTTTAAAGATGAAATCTAAAAATTGCCTAAAAATTTATAGGTAATATAGATTCAAAAAATAATTCAACACCTTATTACAATTCACTAATTTTACAAGATTTAGTAATGGATGAAAGTGAAATTTTGTTGAAAGAAATCTTTGATATCAATCAAAATGTTCAAGATGCTTTGATTTTGTTAAAAATTTGGCTTGTACAAAGAAATCTTGGAGTGAGTATATAATCTTTATTTATATTATATGGTTAATAATTTAAAAATGTATTTATATTATTTCATTTTTAGGGGATTGGAAATATCACTAACCATATATTATCTATGTATGTAGTGTATTTGTTTAAAAAACATAAAATAAACAAATTTATGAGTAGCTATCAAATAATAAGAAATGTTTGGCTAAATTTCGGTACGTTAGTTTTTTAAAATAATTTAAAATTGAAGATTCAATTTTTTTTTTTTAGGACAATCTAATTGGCTTAGTGATGGAATTACTTTAGTCGATAATGAGAGTAAAAAGGATGCTAAGTTACCTTTAATGACCGATTTTCACTCGTCATTTCAAGTTGTATTTGTTGATTCTTCAGGGTATTTGAATTTGTGTGCTAATGTTTTCAAATCTAACTATATCCATGTAAGTTAAATTTAAAATTTAATTTATTTTTAACTGTCATCATTATTTATTTATTTTTGCAGATTAAAAATGAATGTAATTTTGCTGTAGAAATGTTAGATAACTCAAATATGAATTCGTTCCCATGTTTGTTTTTAACCAAAGCTTCTTTTCTTCAACAGTTTGATCATCTTATCAAGTAGTTATACATACTCATAACTCATAAGTGTTTATTAATATACTTTCAATAATCATAATTATAATTTATTTTAGTTTCAATGACATTAAGGTAGTAAAAGATATAGTTAGTCAGCACGGTGATAAAAAATTAAAATTGGATTTAAGAGAAGATTTGGCCTTGCAATTCCAGCACGTTATAGAACCTTTATTGCTCTCCAGTCTTGGTGATCGCATTGCAGAAATGTGCTTCAATGTTTTTCAAGACCCTGTTGCTGTTGGGAAAACTCAAGAACCATTTAGAAATTTTTTAATTGGCTTAAAGTTAAATACTCAAAAAGCTAATTCAGTAGTTGAACGTGGTCCAATTGCAAATTTACCCGAGGTAGTATTTTATAAAGTACTATAATTTACATTAATGTAAGTATATAATATATGTTATTAACTGTAGGCTAAAGAATTTCGCTCATTTTGGGGTGAGAAGTCTCAATTAAGACGTTTTAAAGATGGAGATGTTTGCGAAGCAGTTGTATGGTCTGATAGTAAAGTAGCTATTAGCAAAAAGCGTTGTATAGTCAGAGATATTGTGCATTATGTATTTTTACATAAATTATCAATTTCTTCAGAAAAATTTATTTATATTGCGGATCAAGCAGAATCAGTTTTGGAGAACCCATTTGTGAGTATATATCAACTTATCAACATCTGTATAACTATTTTAATTTTAATTTCATATTGCAACAATATCTTTGTTTCTTCTAATTCGTCCTAAGATAATGTTAGCATTGTGGCACATACTGGGTTTAATGCCCCATAAACTTTAAAACAAGTATCTTTTGTTTATAAATTTAAACATTAAAATAGTAATTTAATTAATAAACATTAATAACCCATATCTTCCCTCCCTCCCCAATTTTTTTTTCTTTGTACTTAGCAGATTATTGTGAATTCTTATCAAATTCTATCAATTTTTATAATTTCAGGTAGTGCCGATTGGATTTGATTATGGTACTGGAGAAGCTGCAAGTTTATGTTGTATTGATAATTTCAATGATGTGGGAAAATTAATTCGTCAACTTGAAGGATTACCTTTAACTGTGAGCTCAGTACAAGGAATATCACCCGTGTTGAGATATGCTGATGTTATACCTCCATTATCCAGAACTCATGTCGACAATAAAAAACAAAGGAAAACTAAAGGAAATTGTATAATGGCACCAACAGATGAGGAAATTAAAATAGCACCTGGGCTTGTTGAACCAATTGAAGGTGGGTAAATCTGAATTAAATATAACTCTCATTAAACTATTTGAAATTTAGGAGTATTACAATTTGCATCCAGTGGAAAATGGCCTAATGAACTAAATGCCGTTAGAAGAATGATAACAGCTTTTTATATAAATCTAGCAGCACGGTTAAATAAGGATTGTAATTTAACTTCTCAACCATTTGTTGATCATATAGACATTATGAAAGTATGTTCTAAATATTATCTTTAATTATACTGATTATATTTGATAATTTATAAATTACTTTTAGAATGGTTTTGTTTTTCGTTTTCGTATTTATTATCCTGGTGAAATATCACTTATTAAAAAAGAACTCATGCCAGATGGTATGATCCGGTATAGAGATACTGAAGAGTCACTGAATTTAGAAAGATCAATGGTGCAATTACCAACATTAACAAGTTCATTGCACGGGTAATTAAAACTTAGCTTTATATTTTTTAAAACCTAATACAAGTTGTTTGTTTTTAGTCTAAGCGCTCAATATCCATCTTATGGACCTACTTGCTGTTTAGCTAAACGATGGCTTAGGAGTCAGTTAATTGATAATTTTCATTTCCCAGAAATGTGTATTGAATTGCTAGTGGCTAGCTACTTCTTACAGCCAGAGCCATTTAAAGTAACCTGTCAACCAACTATTGGTTTGCTGCACTTTTTACGCAAATTAGCAACAACTGACTGGTTTAGAGAATTTATCGTTATCAATTTCAATAATGATATTCCAAGTACTTAATTATTTTATATTAACAAAATCTTAACACTATGATAGTTAATATCCATTTTATTAATTTAGAAGATCATATTTCATCTCTGGAATGTTCTATTGCAAGCCAACAAAAAATGTCTTCAAGACCTGCAATGTTACTAGTTACACCTTATGACTTAGATGGTACAGCTTGGACAAAAGAAAGCCCTTCATTCACAATACTTGCTCGTCTTATGCATTTGTCTAGAAAAGCTTTAGATATAGCTGAAGAAAGCTTATTAAAAAATGGCACTGTAGAAAATTTTAAAGTAATTGCTTATTAAATATATTAGAAAAAAAATGATTTAATCATGGTTTTTTTTTTGTATTGAATAGCAAATATTTAGGCCTTCGTTAGAAAAATATGATATAGTAATTCGGCTAAGAAACATAATGAATCCTCTAAGACATATGGCAGTCGATGCTAAAATGGCAAAAATTTACACATTAGAACCACCTGAAGATAATGAGAAAATACCAATTGTTGGGTTAAATCCAGTTCAAGAGTTATTAAATGTGCTAAGAGTATGTATTGGGAAAATTTACATCAATGATTTTTATTAAAATTATTAATTATTAATTTTAGGATAGCTATTCTGAGTATGCGTTGTTCTTTCATGACACATATGGAGGCAATATAATCGGAGTTGTTTTTAAGCCTAATGTATTCAAAAAAATTGACTTTAAGGTAATTGCTAAAATATTATTTGAGTTGTATTAACTATTTCATGTTGAAGTTAATATTTTTGGTTTGTAGGTAACTAATGTCAATGGTCAAAAATTACACAAGTCATCAAATAGTACAAAACAAGTTGAATTTAATTTAGATGCATTCATCGAGGATATAGATGTACAAGGTGGTTTTATTGTAAAAGAAATTGAAAAATGTAACAAATCACTATTTTGTAATTAATATTATTTTATTAAGAGATTATTTAGTTGATTTGAACAATAAAATTATTGATTTATTTCTTTTGTATTGAGTTTTCAACACATAAATCATTAAAATATACTTTAAAAAACTGTGACGTTAAAAACAATTTTTGTTCATCAATTATGGTCCATTCCAATGGCATTGCTCTAATGAAGCGGCGGCTCCTTCAAATGTTGAGCTAGTGGGTATTAATATTTAGCATATGCCTACCTACGTATTAGGATTAATAAAGTACTAATATAAATAGAATAATAATAAGCAAGAAGATGGTCTTAACATCTAGAATGCTTAAATAAAATATGTGTCACAATAATAAAATAACTTATTTTAGTTTATTGGTATCTACATACCGGCATTTCAAAAAATCAAAATTATGTAATTAATATTAGGTACCTATCAGTTGCCTAAAACCAAATTTAAAACACCTTTCTTTTAGGAATGGTTAATGCAGTGCGATCTAACGGACAATTAACGATCCATTTCACGCACTCGTAATCCCAATTAACAAACAAGAGTGCGCTAGGTGCTTCTGTAGTGATCTTATTAATTTCTCAATGGTAATGTTTTTCATAATTTTATAAGATTTCACTAGAAAATTCTGAATATAAAGAATGACATCAGTGTAAAATCAACAAAAAATGGGTTAAAATGTTTTTTATTTCACAATAATGAAATTTTTTCCGTCTGTTATCACTTTTTAGGCATTACAAATGTTATAATTTTCGATTTTGAGTTGGTTTTTGCCATTTGGTAGGAAATTGAATCTAGTTGGTACTTCGGTTGGTTAAAATGAAAAAATTCCCACAACTTTTGAAAATAACAGGGAAAAGCAAAAATCTTTGATACAAATCCAGTATTCGTTAAAACCACTTTTGGTTTTTTTGGTGTAATTCAAAAACGAATAACCGTTGATACTTGAAATTGTCACCTAACATATTATTATGATTTCCTCATAATATGATACAATTATCAAAATATTTTGACCATTTTTTTTAGATATAAACATTTAATATTTTGAATTTATTACTTTTAAATGTTGAAAAAACGTTTTTGACTGTTTCAAAAATTTTAAACCTCAAAAATGTAATGCAAGTTTCAAGTTGTCCAATATTTTTTTATAAACGTTTAAAGTTCAAAATTTTTATGAAATTCGATAAAATCATGAAAATGCACAGATCATTTTGTAGTTATAAATTCATAAAAAATTTTAATAATTTATTATTGAATTAAAATTATAATGTATGTATTATTACTTCGGTACCTACTCAATGACGAGGTTTACACTCGAGTACTCGATACCTACCTACTGTACGTACCGTCTGTACAGCAGAGAGGTTACCTACTTTCAACTTTTTGTAATAATATGAACTTAGATTCACCCCCAACACCCCGTCTGGCTGTCTATGCAAATATATGCATATATATTTAAAAAAAATTAAAAACCAACGCTTTTCCAACAAGATTATGATTATTGATATGTATGAAAACAATATATACATTATTTTAGTCATCTACACATAATACATATATATTACAATGAATGTAATAATATAAAGAAAGTTTTGAGTTATTTATCAGTTTATCACGTTGGATACGAAACGTTACGGTTCATTCCGGTCTGGTTGGACGCTGGTGATGGATGCAGGAGGGCTGCTTTTCGTCGTGTCTTCGGCGCCGGAGGACAGGGAAGCAGTAGCAGGACGAGTATTCGACGTGGAACTGCTCAAGCGTTTCATAGATCCGGTCGGGGATGGGGATGAACTGCAACGTTTCGTTGTGCACGTCGGGCTCGATCGACCCGGACACCCATCCCCGGTGTTTCGCCGGCAATTGTGCGTGGTCCGGCGAGGCCGGCATGTCACGCACGGGTCCACCGGCGACCCGTCAGGGATCACGTAGGCCGGTAAGTACGCCACCGCGAGGCCGTCGTCCGCTTTCCCGCTTTCCCGCTGAGCCTTCAACTGGTTCTTCACGAGATGGCTGTCTTGGAGCTCTAGATGCGGCGGGCAGTACGACACCACCGCCGCGGCCGAAGACACCAAAATTACCATCACCGTCAGGAGAAATCGCGACGTCGACATCATCATCGTGTGCACGTCTCTGATAATATTATGTAGGTATAGTGTAGGTGTTGTATTATATAGCTATCACTACGCATTGTATTATTAGAATATTATTGAACAAACAGAGAAACCGATTTACGATTTGGATATAATATGTATAATAATTTATTATATTTGTAGTTTGTAGGTCACAAAACACCTATCACGCATAGTTTTATCGGAAAAAGTGTACTTAGAGCCTAAATTCTATTCAGACGTTTTAAACTTTTATTTTATTGAGTTTTCTTACAAGTTACAGTCTATAGCATTTGAATGAAGTAAGGCCTAAGAAAATTTAAATTTAATCTAACTAGGTATGCCCAATTACAAAAAAAAAGAACCTATATCACGATTAAGTTATAATGTTTTTGGATTTAAAGGACCCAGAATAAGACTGGTTTCGATCCCGTATTGGTTGTATTATTATATGCTAATTATATTTGTATAATTTTTATATTATAAAGATAGGTTACAGGTACATATAACATAAAATATAATTTGTTATAATATTATTTATGTACACTTTGAGGCAAACTTAACGAGCGGTAATATCTTGCGACCAGCTACGTATTTATACACGAGTACAATTCTCATAAATATGTATTTGCAATATTTTATTTTTCATTAAAATACTGCCTCTACCAAGGTCGATTTCAAAGTTTATGCTCGATTATTATGGCGTTCTCGTCTCGCTCCTCTGTACGTCAAAAATATAATTACAATTTTAACGAGGCTCAACTGTTGCTTTGCTAATGCTGACCTATTAGGTATTCTTCGTGAATGATAGAATTTGTATTGTTTTCTTGCATGTTGTATGTTTTTGTTTGCGCCTACGCATGTCCAATGCCCGTATTAACAGGACTGTTGAATATCGAGGGAATGTACTTAACGGTATTCCTTAGGGCTTAGGGGCCTTGGTGGCAATTGATTTTATGTCCATCCATGTATGAACCCTGGATATCTGGATGAATGTATGAAAACAATCGGTCTAGGCAATGCAATTGTCGATAGCAAATTCATATCATATAATAAAACTATTATTGTTTACTATAATTATTGAGAACTAACTTATACTGTCTCACCAGGCGCTGCTCGTGCCAACGATTTGTTTTTTCTTTGTAAATATAATTGTAAACAATTATTATGTATACCATATTTTTACTAATTATTATAATAGTTATATAATATAATATAACTAATGAAATACCTATACTATTAATAAACAAATAATATTTTTTTTCCAAGAGCTAAAAAAAATTTTGAGTGAGACACACTGAGGCTACCTGGATAGAGGTACCTAGAGATTGAAAAATAAACTATACCTAAAAATCCCCTAAAGCTGGATTCACAGCTACGTCGTGTGTTGCCAAAATACCAAAAAAGTAATGTCCAATCATAATACGATTTGATCGACAGGACACGACACACGGAAAAAATTTCCAATTTTCTGAACGACTTTTTTAATTTTTTCCTCCTAAATCCTCTATCGGAATATTAACATATTATACACATTTTGAAATAGGAAATGATTCAAATCAGTCCATCTTTTCTTGATTGATATGGTTAACAACAGACAGCATTTCATTTTTACTGTAGAGATAACTATAAATTATTAATATTTAATACCAAATTATCTTAAAAATATCTATTAGTCATCAATAAATATTACCGATAATTCATTCTAGTGCCAACTAACCTTGGGGCCTTTATTTGCACTGCAGTCTACAGCCGTCAAATCAGTCCCGGTGAATCAGTCATATTATCAATGTTAAGATCGACGAAATAAGTTATGAAAATCGAAACACAATAGTTTTTTCTAAACTCTTATATACTATATTAATATGATCTATAATATAGAAAATTCTATAGTAAAAAATGTTTCTATGAAAGTCGATCTTCCAAGGTGAAGTATATTTTTAGTAGAAAAAAAGTTTGGCCACCCCTGATCTATATTATATAAATCCCCGAAGTTGATTCGTGGATTTGTGCCTACGTACATATCTGGAGTCCACTATAGAGACTAAAACTAACAAAAATATTACCGTATTCGTGGTCGGATATTTCAATAATCAAACAGATTTTTTTGTATACATACAATCTTATAAATTATAATAAATAAAGTCTATAACCAAGTCGTAGTCAGGTTCTAACCTATTGGCTACTAAAATAACACATGATTTCAAATTTTCCTATGTGAAAATACCCATCGTCTCCAAATTTGATTTGCACGAATAAAATATAAATAGGTGTTATGAACGTTTACCTACAGTTACCACTTATAATACTTTTGATGTAAATAATTGTAACATATCGTATCATTCATAGGTATTTTCTTAATTAGTTTAACAGTATTAATGTATTACATGATAAACGAACAAAATAAGTGGAATTCTATACGAACCAATCAATAGCCGAACAAAAAATACACCTTCACAAACATCTCCCGAAAGACGTCTGCAAATGTTATTATAAATTCACTAGAAACTTCACTTCATGGTAATTTTTTGTTTTTAGTCAACTGTTGGATATCAGCAAACGAGTTTATAGTGCTTAGCGACAATTACACATAAACATATTTTGGGCGCTTCTGTGATCCATTTCTATTTTAAATTATTAACTCTCACTATTGGTTGATATAGGTGTATGATTGTCGATTGATAATATGTTTTTATTTATTATATTCGAGTTGGGAGTGGATAGGGGTAGAACGATTATTGAGTTTGACAGCTTTATTACCAGTTGAGTCTGGTTGAAATACTAGTTTTTGTAAAAGGGCAGGCATTATACCAGGCTGCTTTTGTTATCATATTATCATATTGTATCACAATAATTTTTAATATTTATTTTAAGATCATTTTACGTAAATTAGATCAAAATAGCATTTTACTTACTATGCAATATAATTGTAGTGGCTAGTACGTAGTTCTATTTTGTTAAATGTTTGGTATAAAATTGAGTATACAATTAAATGTTGTTAGTTTATAGCCATCGGTGCAAATTGGCAAGACTCGCAGAGGCTTCTGCAGGCACCAGTTACGTTATATATTTTGATAACCAACTTAAAATATAGAATATAACTTATTATAATTCTATACGAGAAAGTTAAAAGAAATGTATTAAGGGTTACTTATTTAATTATGTATAAATATATTAAATTAGTTTATGGTACATCGCTCGATTCGATCCTGCATTATTATTGTTTAAAGGGGATTCTTAAAAGTAACAAACAATTATAAGAACTAATAATAATAAATTATCAATAATTTACGTACTATAGTGTATATATGTATAATATGGTCAACTCGGAAGCAGAGGCATTAATTATTTAACAATAAAAAATACTATAAATATAATATTATATTGGCCATGTGAAATTGTATTTTTGTATTAGGTACATATAGTTTTATAATACATTTCATCCTGCCAAATATAGGTAAAGTAACTAAGTACTAACCCACCTATGGTTTACTACAACTGCAATCATAAACTTTCTATATGTCTGTGTGCAGTGCACCAGTGTAGCTATACATAAATAATGTAATATAATATAAACGATGGTTAAATTGTATAGAATTAAAGTGAAAGAATCTACGGAAATTGCCAAAAGTATTGAGTAAACCTTTATATAATAATGATTATGCACAGCTGTACTTAATACTTATGCACGTCTATTATTATTAGTTCATACCTACCTATCGGAGAAAAAAATAACATGCACGTTTTTAAATTATTTTAAGACAATTCATTCGCAAACATAAGTACCAGTTGGCTTTAAAATATAAAACTATTAACTACACGGAATCTAAAAAACGTGTGTTTTTCTCTCAATGAATACCTCTAAGTCATTTCGGTTCTGAGAAATAAACGGTTTTTAAAACATAACTAAAAAACAAAGCGTCTATTACACGATTTTCGTGACGACTCAAGAACGGCCGATACAGCCTAAAGTTGGCAAACGTCTTGTTAGTCGTATTTATTTGTATTTGTAATCACACATATATATTTATATAGTATGACGTATGACGTATACCTACACATGTATCTATTTCAATGCAACTAATCGAATGCACTCGAACATTATATTCATTTAATAGAATCCCACATAAATTTTCATTTTATTAATTGTATATTATACGTCTCGTGTGATGATTATAGTGATTGGTGGTCTCGATTAATTTCATTTTTTACGCAATATATTGTTTACTTATATACCCATACACGTGATGTTATGTAACCAATTAAAATCTTTGACCGTGACCAATGCAAAGTGTGATGCAGTTGCACATGGCGAATATTATATATTATGTATGAAAAACATTGACTAAGGGTATTTATTATTACACCTTGGTATTACTTTCATGTAGGTGCCATGTACTTTTTTGGATTTCCTATTTTATTGCTGATGTTTAAGCGATGGCGTGTTAAATTAATTTTCTTCTCGCATATCAATATTATTATATTATAATAGGAATTTTTTATTTAGTATTTTACACAATGGTTTTATTTCAGCATGACCTAACCATCCTAACTATGCACCTATTTCTGATTGAGTTCCATATGAAAGCTTATTTATTATACCGACCTATTACGATAATACAATCTATAGCTGTTAGTTGTTACTAATGCTATAACTACATGGAACTTTTTAAATGTAAAAATAAACTGAAGGTAAAGGCACATTTGTATACCAAAGTTATGTTGATACATAAAACTGAATATCGATGTATAGATTAAAGGTATGAGTGGTATTACTTTATAGGCCAACAGTCGTCTTACCTGTATAAATCTCAATAATATCCAAATCTAACTAATATACCAAAATACGTGAAAAATATTTTTGTTGACCTATTACTAGTACCTAATAAAAGTAGGTGATTCGAGTTATTGTGTTTATTTATTACAAGGATGAAGGAAATATCTATTTCTTAATTATAAATTAATCTTATCGCATACGATACATGCCTAAGTAATAACACTAATAAGTTATACTTAAATTACCAGTATAATATCACATTATTTATTATATAGTAGGTATTAAAATGCCAAATTTCTTGAGCAAATAGTTAAAATGACAAAATGTACCTATGAGATTTTATGAGATTTCTTCAAACAAATGTTCAACTATTTAATGCAGAGGTCGTCATGTTCTTGCTTATATTTTTGGTAAAACATCTTTATTTCTTGTAATCATATGTATGGTAACCTTTAATTTAAATATGTATGTATAATGGCAAAAGGGGTTCAAGATGATAAGAAATAGAAACAGTCTGAAAATCAGTATTCATTACAGACGATTACAATATTGTTTAAAATATTAAAATATAAACAAATTAAAATCTAATTTTCCTAGTCTCTTTTGAGTCTTACTTGTAAACTATTATTGTTTTATCTATTGAGTTAAGCCCCCCCCCCCGTAATGCCATCAGAAGCTTTTAATTTAAACTAATGATAGGATCTTTGGTTATTCAGCTGACTTATAAAAATGTTTAGGTCATTGATGTAAAGATTCATTATTTATTTTTGGGTTAACATAAAGGTTAGAATTGAAAGTCATTATTTATACTACTTTTTATGTGGATTGTTATGTGGATTTTATGTATATTTAAATATTTTATAATTATTTATTAATATATTAAACTCGCTTAAATAATAATCATATATAATGTGATATTCTTGAATCTATGCATAAGATAAAATATAGAAATAGAGGCACCTTAGCAGTAGTATATCGTTATGAATTTCTTTATACGCCTCTTTCGCTAACGATAGCGATGTTAAATTAAGCTTTTATTTTTTACCCTATATACGAATTTAGTCTGAATAAATCAGTGTATTTAATTAATATTCATAATAGATACTCATCATCTTTATAGTGAATATTCATAATATATACTCATCTTTATAAATAATATTCATAATATACACTCATCTTTATAAATAATATACAATTATATATTATAACAAATAATTTATATTTTATTTTATTTTATTACAATATGGGACAAGACGCACATTTCCAAATCAATGGAAGATTGTAAACACATAATGGATTCTTATTTGCTACAGTAATAAATCTATGTGACAATTGATTTTTTGCATAACTAGTGTTCCATATAAGTATGGAAAATAAATACATGTGATGGAATGGATGAGACTAAAGTTAATCTGTTTTAATAATTCGGGAGAATCTATAAGACCTTAGACCACCAATAAGCCTCAGAAAAGTTGAATTAGCTTCAAGCTTTCGGTCAGCTAAAGTTTTCAGGCCAAGCCGATGAATAACTTTAAGCGAATAGTCGTGGAATGAGTGATCAATTTTTTTTAGGTAGGTACGCTGCAAAGTTAAAACACGTTCAACTTGATACATACCGCAAGATGTATCTGGATCTCACACAATAGTTCCATATTATGATATTAAACATATATATATATTATCTATTCATATTTTACATAATATTATATGTGTGTACTTATGTTGACTAGTACATTGACTTGACTTATATTAGGCAAGGTACACAATAAATTAATGGACACCGTTGTACGTACTTTTTATTATTCACCTATAGCTATGGCTATATGTGCCCACTCAATGGATGATTGTCGGACAAGGGTGGGCCGAAAACATATTAATTTATTATGTATATGACTGGGGCGTAAACAGATAATATTATTTACTGTATATGTATATATTACATCAACAACAATCAAACAATAGTAATGGGACACGTTGCAATGATATGCGATGACGCAGGGCATACGCCACATATACAATATATATGTCCATAATAAATGCCCTTGGATCGGTTACGTATATAATAATCCTTGAACCAATTATTGTACGGTCGATAAAAATAAGGGATTGATGTGTGCCCTTGAGTTCACAAATCGTTTGTATAAATGTGTAAAACGTATATAACACCGATAATGTGAAAACGAGATGACGCGAAACCTTCGATCGTCTCTGCACGACATTTTGTGTTTATATGCTGCAACGGATCACTTTCGTTTGAAGGTCCGTTATTGTTGTGCCTTGTGCGTGTATGCATATATATAAATGTTTATATATATAAGTAAATGATGGCCTAATGACGTATGCACAATACGCTGTATATACATAATATAAGGGTCAGTAGAACAAATTCAAGGTTGGTTTTCGCCCTCCGCGGGGAGGAACATCAGTAAGGCGCACTGTTACTTTTCTTCTGTCAACGTAGTGTTTACGTGTACATAAAATTTAATAATATGTTTATATATTAGTACACAATAACGTACATTATCGTAGAATAGAAAAACCATTCCTGCGGACCGACATTTACATATGTATTATGTGCTGCACCGGATCCATGCATATTATAATGTTATTATTTCAATTTTGTTATTGTACACAAACAAACGTCGTAAGGGACAGTGACGGACGATAGAATAATATGATCAGCGATGAATAAAAGTCGATTCTTTAAAAAATATTTATGTTTTATAGTTATATGTGCACGGTGCTTGCAGTCGATAAATCTCGATCGGCCACACATAACAGAATGTCGCTTTCCTAATCTGTCGACTGATTGCTTTATAAAGATGTATTTTAGAGCTGAGATTTTAATTTTTTCAATCTATAAATTTAAATTATTTTAAATGGATAACGAAAACCCTATTACATGGAAATATAATGTACCTAGGAACTGATGATATGATATTACCACGACAGACAGGAACCGGACTTCCAATCAAATATAGGTAACTATTATAATAACTTCCTAAAGAAAATCAAATTATATGACTCAGTTCAAGCTAACCGTATAGTTTTAATCAAATATAAATGTAAATTAAACTGATAGTCGCCTTGAATTCCGATGTTAGATCAATAAAAAAAAAACTAATGTATTAAATTGATCACCAAAACAAAAATGTGTAAATTAATAAGCGTGATGCATAATCTCAATGAGCAAATATGAAAACAATGAACTTTAAAAAGTGTTGGTAGGCTATAGATATATAGATAGAAATATTTTATTATTTTCTACATTTTTCGAAATAAATCGAACGTTATATGATTAAATTTAAATGGTATTAATTCTTAGTTAGTTACGAAATTGTATTTAATTGTACTTTACGCTACATATAGTATTACGAATTAAATACATATATATTATTAAATGCATATTGAACTAATTTTAATTTAAGTACTGTTTATTTCTTTTTTTTTTCTTAGCCAAACGACAAGACGTGAGTCACTGAAAATTATTTGGCATTATTGTGAAACAATCACCTCGAACAATTTATTTAAAAACTGCAGGAATAGCCTCGGATAATGTTTTTTTATGCACAAAACGAGCTCGTATGGTGTGCAAAACTACATTGCAAAAGTTACGTGTATGGTGGAATAACAATTTGAAACTTCGAAGATGTAATAATAATATTATACATTATTTACATTATTATAATAAAAATACAATTTTGACAATTTTGATGAGCTGATTATGGTTTCTTTTATCACGAGCGATGAAACGTTCAAGTGCGGATATTAATAATAATAATAATAATAATATTAATATTATTTTATTTTGACGACTAAAACGGATTATACGACTTCCTGCTGTTGACTTTCGTTTAGTGTGTGTCCGAAAGTCGTTTATGTATTTATATCATATATATATTAAACTATACATGTGTGTGTGTGTGTGTGTGTGTGTGTGTGTGTGTGTGTGTGTGTTGACCAATCGTAAATGTGTTAGAAAAACATCGACGGCCCTGATTAAGTCCCAAATACGGTTTTATATATTTTATTAATTAATTGTAAGGAAAAAAGACGCGTTCCGGTTGCGGATGAGTAAGAAAACAAACAGAGGCTGTTGTAGTAGACGACGAGCGGTGGCGGCGACGACACGGTTGTTATATAAATATATATAATATATATATATTCATTTATAGGACATACGTGATGCAGCAGTATCAGCTCTCGAACGGTTTATTGTCTTAATCGATGACGTACCCAAGGTCCAGATTAAAAGCAAACATCACACAGGAGGGCTACTTTATTACCTCCGGCCATAAAATTCGGCCCTAATCCCCTCTTGCTGCAGCTGTGATGAGGTGGCTCCTCTGCTGTATTATATATTATTATAGATATCAAATCCGCAACGCACTTACTACCCTGCTCCTGCATTCCACCGCCATTCTCGATGCCCGTTAAGATTTCATTGCCGTTAACGATATAACTTAATTTTCACGTGAGTTTAATAAAGCAACAAAAATCCGGACATGATCGGTGTACGATAGAGGTCAAATTTGGACCGCTTGTCTCGCTACACTAGCAGATCATAGTATATTGGTGTTTTCTAATATTTAGTATTTTTAAGTAGGTACAATATTATAATTTAATGTATTCCGGAAGAAATAATATTATTATACTTCTCTGCAAATCTCGGTTAAAACTACACTTGCTGATATTTTTTCAAAATTCTCCATCCGTGGTTGTCAGTAATATGCCCTAACTCTAAAATAAACTATAATAAAATTTAAAAGTATACTTAGTTTATATAAGTGATACTGCAGATCACTTCTCTTTAAGCAATAACTAAATAATTTATATAACAATATTATGTCACTAACTCTTTTCTTCAATCAAAATAAGAGAATCTTAAATGCATATTTATAGGATTGTGATATTTAGGTATATATTAAAAAGTATAACGACGACAAGTCGTTAGTCATATCCACGACTTTGGGAAACGTACCTACCAATCTAAATGTCTACTACCATGTTCAAAACTAATGTGTATACGACATATGGTTAATGAATTTAAAGATAAATTAACTGTACCAGTTACCATAAAAATTTGTTTGTATTAAACACAATACTTAATTAATAGGTATCTACATAAAAAATATTGCATATCAATAATCTAAGGGCCAACACTCAAACGTAGTAAAATATAAGTGTTCTTGAAGTAAGCTATTATGTTGAAAATTAAAATGCAGTAATTTGAAGAAATTTGTAGTCTAAAAGAAAATTGTTGTAGGTACGTCATTTATGTAATTTTCGTGCCATAACGTTTTTCACATTTAAAAGTTCAAACCATACCTCAATGTCCATAGATACGTGTAAATGTAATTAATTGAAAGTAATTATGTACATTGTTTAGCATTTGATACTCAATCTACAATTTTTTTAAATATTGTGTACTGACCCAAGACTATGTAAAATAGAAAGGGAAATGTTATTTTTAAAAAAAATATCTGGACTCAATAAGTTTATTTTTCGGACTATATGGGTTCAACGGTTTCGGAAGGCTGTTCAAAGCTTTTCACACTAGTTATGTATTTATGTGGCATGTGTAATGGGTATCGTGTATGTAGTATGTAGGACAGATATACAATAATATATTAATAATATGTAAGAATTAATATAAAAACTATTACGAGAAATATTTCTCTTATGATGAAAAAAATTACATTTCTCATATTATATTTATAACTGTTTTAACATATAATCTAGAGCACAGAGATGTATTTTTTACAACCATTTTAATATATTGGCTAGCGGGGTTCTAATTATACTAATTATTATTATAATCATAATTATTTATGGTGAAAAAAAAAACAGTAAATTGTTTTAAATATACATTCTCGGTAATTGTGTAATGTGAATATTATGTACTCGATCGATACTAATTATAATAACATCTAATAGGACAGCACTATCTAAAATGTGTAATTCTCTACTCTAAACTTAAAAAAAACCTCAATCGAGTAAAAAAATAATATTATCTATGACAAAAAAAAGTGATAATTCGTTTAATCCGTTATCCTTAACCTTTGAAACGGGAGAGCAAAGTTAAATGAACTTTAACAAAAAAAACATGTACATTACGTATTGTTTGTGTGACGTACGAGCAATAATATGTCAATCATCATCAAAAATCGAATCTATTGTATGACTTTTTTCAGATTTTTGTTTGTGAATATTACAAAAATTACAAGAATACTACAAAAATATAGCTTTTGGTCCTTCGGTTTTAATTTTTTAAAGGTACATAATATAATAATACAAAGGAAAGACGCAGTCAAGAACGCTACATGTTTAATATAAATTATATTTATAATATGCTTTAAAATTTAAAATATCGTTTAAAAGTATATTTTATTTCGGATCTATGGTTATTTTGAATTTCATTTAAGAAGAGATTTTTTTAAGGACCTATGTCGATTATATTACGGTTATACCTCTATTCTGTAAATAACGGAAAGGATAAATTACGATGTTGTGACGGAAATCACCTAAAAAATATTTATACATTCTTAAGGACGCCCTTAAAATGCTAAATTATTATATGTTTTTTTTTTTAGTCATAATACTGGCCGTAAAATGAAGATTTACACCACGTGTTAAACGGTTGTACGTATATACGTCGATGTAATATATAATATAATAACTTAGTGCACCTATAATTACATATTTTGTTGAAGTGGAATGACAAAAACATCAAAAAAATTGATAGTTCTATTTTATATTTACTTATTTTATAAAATATGATGACAATGTATTATACATTATTATCGTATCGTGCACAGGCACACAGCAGTATATTATATTATAATATATTGTAAAATAAACATTTTTATCATCGGCGGCGATTCGAACCACTACACATGGAGGAATGCGTTCAAGTACCGAAAAAAAAACTAGTAAACCTTTGTTTGTTTATCTGCATTTTCAATATAAACATATTATATAATATATATGATATCGATTTATTTTCTTAACGCCTCATCTTGGTGTGGGGCGCTTTTGTCCACTAGATCGTTATATATTATCCGGTATGACCCGTCCGCTCTTATACCTACACACATTTGATACTTAGGATTATGTATACATATATATATACTTGCATCGCACGGAGACTGGAAATTAGAACGTTTTGGGCAAATATTTCTTTGCACATATAATATTATGTACCTACCTACCTACCTACTTGGGACCCTCACCTTATTAGGTACGAACAAAAAAAGTAAAATAAAACGTGTCGGTTTTCACGCACCAGAACGCGCCAGATATTTATAATAATAATATAATGCATAAATATATACATAAATATATATAACATATTAATAAAGACGACCTTAAAGCCCTCGCGATCCCTTCTCGTGGCAGTCTGGTCAAAATATATAATATACAGCGTGATTCATCAATCATGCACCCCTTCATTTTTTCATTTAATCACAAATTTATTCGAATTTTGGAATTTTTAAATACACATCAAGACCATATTTTCAAATTCTCGAGATTAAAGGACAATTTTTCGCTAAGTAATTTGAAGTAAAAAAGAGGGATTGTCATTAGAAAAATAGAAGTTTGTACTTCTATAAGACAGTAGTATACTAATATAGTATAGCATTACACTGTCTTTTTCTAGTATATTTAAAACTTGTACCCGCACTTAAAAATTCCAACAATCACACATGGAATAACTGCTGGATTGTTGAAGAAGGAAAACGTGGGATCACGCTCTGTGATTCACCCTGTATATATCACACATATGCTGCGCAGCGGTGTGATATATATATATGTATGTATATACACATATCATACGTAGGTATACCACGCGCGTATCATTATATACCATTTATTGTGACTGCTGTTGCGGGGATGATAACCACACGTGACCGGGCCGAGTGGTTTCGACAAGTATAATATATAGGACGATTATAATATAGGAGGTGTGTATTGGACGCACGGCACGGCCACTTATTCTTATATATTATGTGAGCCGCACTTGACTGCACACACACGACACACGACGACGAATAATAATATGACAGTCGATTGACGATCCGCTGAGTACCTACCCGGCTACCCCGTAGGTACTTTTGGTGTTTTTATTAGACAGCTGCATCATTATTATCGCTACAGCAGTACACCTATGTTGTGTGTGTATACACAGCGTTTAGACTTACCTACTATGTGTGTGTGTGTGTGTGTGTGTGTGTGTGTGTGTGTGTAGGAGGTACTTACCTATTATTCGTAATTTATACGCCCGACTTGTTTTCCTTTAAATCGTTTGAAAGGGACAGTGTTTACGTAATTAACGCCACCTCGAGAGACGACCACACGCGAAATATATGATATTGTGTTCCACGACACACACTCGACCGTCCCCACCCGGCTGTACCTATTTTACCTACATAACACAATATATCGTACACGACCTGTAGCACGGCCTACCCGCGGCGCTGCAAAAACGGCAAAACGTCCGGTGACTGAGGAATGAGAAAAAAAATATCGATACTTGTAAAATTAATTGTCTCTAGTATTATTCATGTTAAATTTAAATTATAAAAGGCATATCATGGTATGTTACATAAATCTATCATTTACACTTTGCTGTATGATATATCATTTGTAACATAATTAAAAAAAAAAAATCAAATATTATATTATTATATATGTATAAAATATATCACGTTCGGGAGACGCGATATTCACATTAAGTAATTGTTATATTGAAATGTTTAAAAAGTTGGATGTTTTACTCGGTTAATATAATAGTTGTCCGTGAATCTTGCCAAATAAGCCGCAGGAACCAATTTATGTTTTATACGCGTCGATAGTTTTTTGATATTTAGGTCCATCTTTTTGGACGATATTTCTTCATGTGTGATGTAATAGCTCCTAAAATTACAAATTTAAAAGTTTTTTAATAGAATAATATTCTAAAAATAAACGCGCATAGGTACCGCTAGAATAATTAATGATTATATGTGTTAAATGTTTTTGTGGAATAAAAATAATATTCTATGTTTAAGAATACCAGTAAAATAATATTTTATTGTGCAGAATACATTTTAATTAGGTATGAAATTAGTGCTACTATGGCTACTTATTAAATATAGTAATAACTATATCAGAATATTGTTCTGAAAACTAAAAATGTATTGATTCCGAGTACATTATAAAGCAAAATTTAAATAGCTAAATAATCTTTAATGTTAATCCATCTTATATGGATTAATTAATAAGTATTTTTTTATCCACAGTGGGTTTATTATTAAGTTAGACGGGAAATTGCTTTAGTGAATTATACATTCTTATTCTTATTATTATTTCATAGCTTTAATAAAGTCAAAAAGTCAAAAATAATAAATCCCCAGAAAATAGAATAGATTTATTTTACAAC